CACAATTAGTGTGGCATTAGAGGGGCCTTACAACAGGTATATTTCTGAGACCCCAGGTGAGAAATAAAGTCTTCCAGGAATGATTTATTTTACTGTGTGAACTGATGAGCATCAGTTAAATTGCCTTTTAATTGACTGACTGTCTAAGTAACATGCCTTTGAGGAAAACACTACTTTTGAAATTTCCTTTGGCCAGGAGGGGAAGAAGCACACTAAAGTCTTTGAAGTCTACAGCCATCAGACTAATTATCAGCACCATTCAGTGTACATTCATTTAATTACAGTAAATTAAAAAGGATGTGGGGTTTGGGAGAAAAGCAAAAGAGTCAATAAATGGTGACAGAAATTCCAGACTATGCAAATTATCAGTGTTTTTTTCTAGAGGAGTCCACTAATCCACTAATTCTCCTCCATGTTGCCAATTGTGCAAACACCACTAATGCAGAAGAGGGAGTGACTAAATGCTGGGGGGTGCAGAGGGGGTGCTAGACAACATTTACTGTGGACCAATACTATGTGGATATTTGATAACATGGACAGTGTTTCTCTACTTCAATTTCCACAAAGATTTAAGAAGTACATATAATTTCCTACCATTCACAAGCAATAAACAGAACGTACACTTATTTGGAACTCATTAGATGCGAAAGACTGGCTGAAGCTCATTCTATGCCTCAACTCACTTAACCCTCCCAACATCCCTATAAAAACTACTTTCTATTTTGTCTGTTTTACACTTATAGGACACGTAGCACAGGAAGGTGAAATTAATTGCCCAAGGTCACAGCAATGGGAGGTGGTGGAGATAATTCAACCACCCAGGTGGTCTGTCGCCCCCGCCCCCCAACACATTCTCAACTCTCAACCCAAATGGAAGCTCTCCAGGGTGTGAATCACGCTGAGGTAGAAGAGGGAGATTGTCTCTTTGCAAGGGGTCTAAGAGGTCCTGGAGAAAGGTAGGAGGAGGAAGATGAGAACCCCCAGAAGGAGACACCGTGTCTCTGGAACAAGCAGCACAACTGAGGAAGGAGCAGGCAAAAGTGGCAAAGTGGGGAGCTGGAGGTTGGGTGACCCTGGTACAAATGTTGTGGGCGATGGATGAGAGGACTGAAACCCTCCAGGCATGAGACCACATCCTGGCTGTCATGAGCCTCTCTGCTGGGTGACAAAGCATCCAGATGCCCACTTCTTCCGGGAAAAGATGCATGTACAAACCCTTTCAAAGCTCAAAGGTTGATGTTGTGAAAAAAGTCTTTTGTTCCTGACATTTCAATAGATACTTGGAATGGAGATCAGATTACCTGTGAGGCTGCATTGTGGGAATCCAGTGGGTGGTCTTTTAACAAGACTACAGACAGGAAAGATGCCCCAAAACAACCCGGGGCAACTGGTAACTAACTCTGATGAGGTGGCACACCACACTCATTCTGGAACCTCTCAGTGCCTGCCAGAACTGCTCCTGACACAAGCTCAAAAGCCACTGCCCTTCTAGTATCTTCTCTGGTGCAAACACTCAGCTCAGAAACATGAGGACAATGCAGTGTTGTCCAGGAAGCACCCCATAAACTTAATTTGGAACAAGATTAACATTTGGAATTCCAGATGAAACTCAACAGACTGTAAAGAAAACTTTCTCAAAATGCTTCTAACTTCAAACACCCGTGGTTGGTAAAGAGTTAGTTTTGCAGAAGAATAAATGTTATCACTTGTTTTGAATCTCTGCTAACATGGAGCCTGTGACATGGTCAGAATGTTCCTTTCCCCTCGTGGGATGATCAGACCATCAAAATTTCATTAGCCTCACAGCAGTTCTAGCGCCTTCTTAACTTGAACTGTTGGCCTCTTTATCAATAAATAAATGAAATCTAATCCCTTTTAGTGACTAAGCTCTTCTTTGAAGTTATAACTAGAACATCACTGTGCTTGCATAATTTTATAAATGTTGAATAACATTTTTTTTTTCTGGGGAAAACAGCCTTATTCACAGTTAGTTCCAATGATGGAAACAGTCAAAATGAAAACTCCCATATTAAACTGGATAGTTTCATTTTAGTGAGTTATTTTACTCCTGCTTTTCTTGTCTAAGTCTATAGTGCTACAACAGAACTTGGTTAGTTCTGTCTAAAATTAGACAGTCTATTGAAATAATTGAAAGTTGAAGGAAAATATATCTGGAAGATCAATAGACTTTTAAGCTGTGCACAATTAAAAACAGCTAAGGAGGAGAAAATTATTTTAAAAATTTTATGTTAAAATATTTGACCAGAAGAAATAATCATAGTAAAAGTATAGCATAGTTTTGAGGATATTGTTTATAAACATGTTAAAAATTCATGCATATGATTCAAATTTTTAATTTTTATTATAATCCAACTTAAGTGTGGGGAACATTTTTTTTTTTATTTTGGAATAAGAGAATCCTCTGTACTCTGATTTCATTCAACAATTTGAAAAACAGGATCTGCTAAAGATCTCAGAAAATGATGCTTCTCCAGATTTTAATGTAATCAATTACTTTAATTGAACTCTTGTTCCTTCTGACTAATCACTGAAAACTCAGGACAAATAAACTGAAATGTTCCTATGGACACAGATTTCAATCTATGACATTGCCAGTATTCACAAAGAGGTCCTATCTCTTTTATTTCCTTCTTTCTTCCTTAATCTGACCTCACTGGGAGTTCTTAGACCATCAAAATGTTGTTTCAAAAAACAGCCAGAGCCAAATCTTGGGAAAAGAGTAAACACAAGTTGAAGTTCTCACTTTGCCCAGCTCAACAAACAGTTCTTCGGTCACTTTATACTCTCAACTTGGCTGACCACCCGCTTACTCTCCACAAATGCAAGCAAATGTGCTGAATTTCAAGGCAAGGCGCTTGACACTCTTTTCCTGTCTTTCTCCTGCTTCACCAAGACCGTTTTGAAGAAAAGAAAGAGTAGCTTTTCTTGTGTTTATCTCACTCTATGGGCCAGGTGATGAGATTCCTGGGCAAACAAGTTCCCCTTCTGGCTAATAATCATCCGAGCCAATGGAGAAGGACAGTGGCTTGTGAAACTTAGACATTTTCCCTTCCCTCCCAATGATTTGGACACTCCTAAACTAATAGACTAACCATGATGTGTTCACTAAAGGCTGCGAGTTTACAGTTTTGTATTTTCTATAAAGAAAAAGATGCCATGGGTTTAGGAATCAACTGTGGGGTAGTTTTAGCAGACATGTCATTTAAAAAATAACAAAATGAATTTACGTTTTACCAATAGAGACACCATAACAAAACACAATTGTCATTAGAGAGAGAAAAGAGAGGCTGCACAGCTTGGAGGTAGAAAGAGCAAGCTAACTTAAGGTGGAAAACTATTTTACAGAAATGGATACGGACACTCTACGATGCAGATAATCAGACTTGAATTCATTTTCCTGCTGCATTTGGGAGAATGCATACAATTTATCACGTATTTTAGCAAAATCAATTGCCCAGTGCTACATTTGAATATCATCATCGTGCCTACAACTGCTCCGAGTGTTATGTGGAAACGTGAGTGGATAAAAAGCCAAGTTCATGCCCACTCTTCTGTATTTGAAGTTAGTGACTTCTGAATCCACAATGAAAATGGATATGAACACAGGTCTCCCTGAGGTGAATGGATTAGCTCAAGAAAAAGCTGGCAGCCTGACTCTAAGGCGCATTTTGTCAGAAAGAACTGTCCTTATTTCCTGATTTGGGTTGGAATACAGCCAGCCTCCACCAAAATCTGACACTTCCAAAATGGATATCGTGAGCGTATATTATTAATCGAGCTGTACTTTATAGTCTAGTACACTAAAGTATCCCACATAAGGCATTGTTCTAGTTGGTTAAATTAGACTTTTTTCCCAAAAGGGAGGAAAATGACTCACAAGCAGTGGAAAGCACTAGGTACCACGTCCCACTGTGATTTAGCTGAAACTGAAAGTGAACAATAGTCCTGCTTTCTGTACAGCGCAAAGCTGACAAAATTGCTCAAGAAAAAATAAAAAATGAAATATTGGTAAGACAGCCATCTTTCTCTGCCAATGTCATGCACTCCATCCATTTGAATTTTCTATTCGCTTGTGGATACATTACATACACTCAGCATTCACAACTAGACCGCAGGCGCAAGTATACCGTTCCTATCAAATGCTGAAGGAGAACTCTGTTGTCATTGTCTGGTGCATTAGCACTGATGCTTCAATTCTTCCTAGAAGCAGTACTGACTAAAAATTAAATTTTCTTTTAAATCTATTATTGCATATAAATGAACTGTTTTTATCATCCCGCATTGACAATAGGCAAAGAACCCCAATATTTTATCAAGACATTTTTTTTTTACAATATGTACAGCTGCTATTTCGATATGCTAAAATCCAATTTTTGTGCGTGGATTTAATTGCATCGTAATCCAGTCCCCAAAGCACATCAAAGACTACACTTTCTCCCCTTTACCAAGATTTCAATTGCTCTCATCAACTAGTAAGTTTAAAGCATGATCAAATTTGTTCTTCAATCACTTGAGCCCTGTTAATAAACTATTCTGTGTGCTCACTCATCCATTCTAAGATTCTGCGACTTCTTTGAGATATCTTCAAGAGGCATCTACAAAGACATCTTTGATTGCAAGCTGGCTCTGGGGTAAACTTTATCACCACTTGCTTTGTGACTCCACCGAGGATAACAGGTGACATGATCCAAGATAAGTCAAAGCTAATCTTTCATTTTTTTCCTGTACATGATTAAACTGTTTCTCAAAACTATAGCTAACACATCAGAGACCGCTTGCATAATTTAACCATCGGATGTCGAATATTGATTTTTTCCCAGGAAAAAAATGCATTCTTCAAGGACATTTTTTGAGTCCCAGTGCATTTCAACAAAAAGAAGGGGAGAAGAAAGAGAAGGGAGGAAGAAAAACATGCCCCCACCAGCAACTGAAACGCAAGCCCCGAGCGCCGACACAATAAAGCAAAAAAGGAGACTTACCGCTCTCACTGTCCGACTTGTTCTCATGCTCCGTGTCTGTCAGGGTGAGGGCCGAGTTGGACCGACTGGACAGGCAGGAGCTGCGGCCCGATTTGACCCCCCTGCCCCACAGTCTCATGGCATGCTCTGGGGACATCACTGCTTCATTTTCAGTGTCAGCATCTGACCCTGCACTGATAGAGTAACCTCTGTGGGGAAGCCCCATTTCCGCACAAAATGCCAGTCCTCTTCGATTTGCTGGTTCACAAACTCCTAACTGCCTTAGGGTAAAATTCTGTCCTAATTAGGGGGAAAAAGAGATAACAGCTAGTGAGTATACGTTTAGTTTTCATTTTGTATTTTTTTAAGAAAAATCTCCCTAAAACAAACAGTCAAGCATCCTGACTTCTCAGCGGTTAGCACCAGGTGTTTATGTCAGCTCTGCATGGCATGGGGTCGAGTGGGCACCCTCTGGGAGGTGGGGTTCGCCATCAACTTCCCACACCTGCCAGCTCAGAGGGACTCTGTTTGAACCCATGAGCACCTCCAGAGAGATGGGAAAGCAAGGGAACATGGGGCCGTGAAGGCTCGGCCCGCAGAAGGGACCAGGTATCAGAGCTCTGTGGAACAGGCTCGTGCGATTGTCAGACATTTCCCCATGTCCTTGCTCCCCTCCTCAGGGATATGGTTTTCCCATCCAGATGTCACGTTTTTGGAAGAGGAAAGGTTTCCCTCAAGAATAAGTTACTTGTTAAATAGAAACAGGTGCTTGGTCAGACCTTATGTTATCTGTCGACCTTAACAAGTAACATGGCTGTGTGTGTGCGCATACACAAATTAAATTTTGGGTTGTAACCTCTTGAAAATTTGCAGACATCTGTCTCTCTACACTTTTTGCTTTAATAAACACCTGGAAACATCTGTATTGATCAATGTAAACCAATTTTTGCAAAGAAAGCACGCTCTATAAATGAATGGGAACATTATGTATTTAAAAATTAATGATAAAATCAAATTCCCTGAAAAATAAATGGCGGTGAACCCTGCAGCCTTTTACTAATAAATTGAGCATCATAAAACTCATGACATTGCAATAACTTAAAGCAAAAGTGTTTAAATTAGGTGACACTTTCCAATGACTGCTGTTATTAATGACTTTACCAATCCTGCATTTATTCTTGGAATTTCACATATATTTTATAATGCTATGGATAAGGAAAGAGAGAAAAATGTTTGCATGTAGAATGCACAGATATGGCACTTCCATTTTTGTCTCTGTTGGCATGGGAGTGTCTGAGATTGGGCTACCAACCAGAATCAAAATACATATACGAATTATCATATACCAAGACTGATTTCAATGTTACCACGTAATATCAACCTTTTAAAAATATTAAGCATGTATATTACTCATAATTTTGTTTCCCACTTCAATCTCTTACATCTATAAACATTTCATAGTTAATTGGCTGGTATGAGACATAACATACATTAGTTATTTTTAAGAGTGCTATAAATTGTGATAAAATAATAACATGTTGAATCTTCTAGGCAATCAATCAAACTAATACACAGGATAGTAAATATTTGCTTGTAAAGATATTAGCACCTTCGGGTCTCAGCACATTTTAACTAGTGTGGTTAATTGCTTTATGGCTGTGGTCATATCAGAAGTTGGGATCAGCTTTATCTCGGTCAGACTTCCAAATGGAGTCTGACAATGACATTCATAAATAATGAAAATCAGATGCTACAATTAGCTGCAAATCAGACTGTGCTTATCAGAGCAATATGAATGAGTATCTGAACCAAAAAGGATGACAGAAAAAGGAAGTGGCAAAAATAGGAGGGAAAAAAGGGAAAAAGAGGCCAGTGAACAGTGAGAAAGTGCTCAGGCTGCACGAGTATTGACAGCATTATCAGTGTCCCTGAAATAATTAGTGTGCCTTGAACTTAGGAAAGAAATTCCAAAAAATAGGTCAATATCATCAAGTGTTAACGGATAGCAGTGAAAGAACTTACCCATTATTATTCACAAATGATGTTTACAAAGGGGAGTGGGGAAAGAACCTGAAGCAGTCAAATGTTATTATCAAACATGCTGATTTTTCAAAATAAAAATACAAAATTATTTGTAAAGGGTGAAAATAAATCTTAGGATCCTTCCCATCTTCCCTTTTTTAAAAAAAAAAGTTTTATTTTTATATATTTATGCATAGAACTGGGTGTAGGCCACAGGTGTGGGGGTGAAAGGATTCACCAGAGACAAAGTGGGGAGCAGAACAGGCAGATCTACTGAAATATGCTCCTGAGGGGAGCGGCTGGGAGACAGGAGAGGTCTCCTGCGCCATGTGGGTGGGTCAGCTCCTTGGCCAGAGAGAGTGCTGAGAGTTAACACCTATGCCACTAGGGAGGTCCCATATTTCCTCTTTTGGGGGGAAGGTGCCTCCCGTGAGAGAATAAAAATAAGAGTGAAGGTAAAAGACAGTAAGAACTTCCCTTGAGGAAATTTAACTTAAATCATTTTCCAAGTTACTGACTTTTCACACAGCTGCCATTTGGATGCAAAAATCTATGAGGTGTAGGAAAACAGAAAACTGAGATCTCTATTTTTTGTTATCCAGGTATGTAAACATAGCTCACTTTGCAAATAAATATCCAAAGCATCATCCCTATAAATTGGTACGTGTCTCCCAAACTCCTTAAACATCTGACCCTCTGCAATCAATGTCTCACAAAAATTCAAAACCCGTAGGGCCTCCGTGGTGGCACAGTGGTTGAGCGCTGGGTTGCGAAGCTGCCCGCTGTCTCTGCAGCTTCGGTTCCATCCCCCACCACGGGTGAGGGTCCCACATGGTATGCAGACCTTCCTGCTACCCGCTGCTCCCCTCAGCAGTGTATTTCATCAGTCTGCCTGTTCTGCTCTCCGCTTTGTCTCTGGTGAATTCTCTCACCCTCCCGTGCTTCTGACTGTACCCAGTGCTTGTATAAATAATGAAATAAATCTTTAAAAAAAAAATTCAAAACCCTTAAGGGCTATTATGAAATGCAAGCTAGGAAGGGAAGAATCCCTGTTAAGATTTTCCACTGAATTTAAAAGTTTGCTTTTGTTTCCACAAGGAAAAAACATAAATTTGACCTCAGAAGGACCTAGATTAAAGCCACTTACAAGTGCTCTTCAAATACCTCTACCATTTAATTTTTTCATCTTTCAAGGCTGTCAGGACTTGGTTTTAAGAGCTGGCTCATGTAAATGTGACTAGCATAAAGAACAACTCCAGGAAACATAGCTTAAAATTAAACACCTGGATGAATGTTAACTGATAACCAGAGACATGTATAATTGGAGGGTGAAGAGACGTTTGTTTTGAAATAATATTAGAATCGCCACCCCCACCCACTTGAATCTCCGTGTCAGACCTTGGTGTTTCGAATTCTACTGCTGTCAGTTGTTTTCTTTGGTTAAGGACTCTTGTTTTCAGGAGCCCTTGTTTTAATGCAAACACCCCTGGGGAGATCAAACTGTTCAACTCGAATAAATTAGTCTATTAGATTATTTCCTGCAATCTAGCAATGTTTACGAGATGTGTTATGTTTATGGAAAACATGTGCAGTTTTGACAAACAGGGAGGATGGTGAGAAAAAAAGATTCCTGCCTGGGAGAAGAGATGGGGGCTGGGGAGGGGGTTGGGCTGGGGTGGGCTGCTGGGGTGAAGTGTGGAGCTCCAAGGGCATGCAGAAAAGTAGAAAGAGAAAGGCAGAAAAAGCAGCCCGGGATGTTTTCTGGAACCAGGCTCGAAGCTCAACAATTTTGCTTCAAGTCAGCTTTGGCTAAGTGACTCCTGTCAGGGTCCAGCTGCTCGCCACTCGAGGGGCCGAGAGGCTGGTGGCAGGAAAGCAGGTTTCTTCAGGAGCCTGCAACCGGAGGAGGTGGCCTGGTCCACAACAGCCTGCCTTGCCCTTGGCTTGCGGCCTCCTGAAGGCTCCTGATTTCCTCTCCCGCCGCGCTATCTCCAAGTGGCCAGCGGAGCCTCTGGGCCCTAAGAACAGCTTAGAGGAACGTGAAAGAGATAAGGACACAGGACTTATTTTTCAGTGTCTTGAGACAGGGTTCTTTGCACTGGTTCCAACAGGGTTATCTGAATTTCTTTCTCTGGCCGAGACTGGTCAAATAAGTATTTATCTCCTGCATGTTGAATCGTGGCGACCTTGATCAGCAGGGCCAACCAAAGAGTTTCCCATTACAATTTGAAACTGTCCCAAACCAATAAATTGTAGCGAGAATCAAGTCTACCTGAGGATGAAATTCATTGTGATTAAAAAGCGAGGTGTGCTTAGATTAGATGAGACATTATTGTTTTATGACACTCATAAATTTGAAAATCTATAAAGGGAAAACTGAATAAACACAACCCAGAAAGGCTGTATTATTTAAAAAGGGGAGCGAGGGGCCCTGACAGCCTGGGGAGGACCGTATGGGGCAGGTGCTCGCGCGGAGGCTGGCGCGGAGCTGGTCTGTTTCACATGGGGCCTGTCACCTGCTCGGAGCACGGGCTTCTCAAAGCTGCAGTGCGGACTCAAGTTACCAACAGGCAAGGCATCTACCAGCTCCTGTGCGAGCTGACACACAAAAAGACTACATGAAGGACTAAGCTGAGAGTGACTTGGGGTGCTCGGCCAGCAGAAGGGTGAACTCTGTGCAATTCTCTTCCCTCCTAAGTTCCTAAATCTGGAGTCCGTTGATGTCTGGATTGGTTCTCTCTCTCTCTCTCTCTCTCTCTCTCTCTCTCTCTCTCTCTCTCACTCACTACTCTCTCTCTCTCTCTCTCACACACACACACACACTACAACACATACAACACATCCATTTCACTGGCACTCTAGTCATTTTTAGCACATTCACCAAGTTCTGCAACTGCCTTCTCCATCAATTCTAGAACATTACTAGGACCCGAAGGAAATCTTCCACAGAAAGTCACCTCCCATTTCCTCTGCTCTGGCCTCTCCCCGGCCCCAAGCAACCACTAGTCCCCTTTTCATCTCTATGGATTTGGATTTGCCTGCTCCAGACATATCAAAGAAAAGGGACCCCGCAGCCTACAGACTTCCGTGCTGGCTTCTGTCCCTAAGCATGATGTTTTCAAGGTTCATCCACATGGCCGCCAGGTCAGGACTGCCTTCCTTTCTATGGTTAAAATATCGCTGGATGGATACCCCACATTTTATTATCCATTTATCCAGTAATAGTCGTCTGCGGTGTTTCTACTCTGGGGCTGGTATCGAAATGCAGCAGTGAACAC